AATCATGTAGAAAGTAGAAGGGGACAAAAACATTAGGAAACTATAAAACAGATTTGAGCCCAGAATTAATCTTCTTTAGCAGTGTCCAATCACATTTTTTGTGACTTTAACAAGCAGATATGCAAATAAGGACAAACCAGGTTTAGATTTCCTCCCCATTATGTTCAGCCTATTTGCTTGCAATTCTTCTCTGCTATAGTAATTTTTCAATGTCAGGCAGCTGTTAAAAGCATAGGAGATTAGATGGGCCAATTAGAAAGGCAAGCAATCTTAACCTGCAGCATGGTTAATACCATTTTTAAGGGGGGGAAATGGGTGTGCCCTACAAAGAAAATTGCTAATCTGTGTCTTTAAATGAAGAGCCTAAAAAGCTGGGTCTATGTTTTGCAATACATAAAGGGAAGCAGAGCAGAAATTATATATTTTCTCTCTCCAGCCTGGGCCTGGTTAAAGGAGAAGATAATATATTTACTACACAGCTTAGTGCATCTTTATTCTGGGGAAATACAATAATGTGTTGCTTTTAGTAGCTGAAGAAGTGCAGCTGTCCTGAATAATAAATAATAGAAAACCTTTGAAAATCAAGCCAAGATACAGAGCTGTAATTAATCTGTCTGCTTTTTAAATGCAAATAAATAACCCATGAGTAAAAATCAAAGGAAATATGCTGTTTAGCAATAGCAGTCCTCTCCTAGCAGCTCACAATAAGAGAGATAGATAGTTGTTTATGATATATTAGCAGTAGGGCTGGGTTCTAAATTTTGTTACTACCGGTTCTGTGGGCGTGGCTTATTTTGTGGGCATGGCTTGGAGGTCATGTGATGGTGGGTGTGGCTAGCTGGTCATGTGACTGGGTGGCCATGGCTATGTGTATAGGGACTACTCAGAGGGCTGAAAAAAGTCATTTCTGACAGGTCCTCGCACTTTTGACTGGTCCTCACACTTATGACCATCACATTTATGCCCGTGCAGCAGTGGTGGGTTGCTCCCAGTTCACACCGGTTCTAGTAAAAAAAATTAATAGTTCGGAGAACCGGTAATAAGATTGGCTGGCCACGCTCCCAAACCGGTTCCCAGCCTGGTCGCTGTTGGCTTACCCCGCCCACTCCCAATCTATTGCTGCCTCCTGAGTCCCAGCTGATGGCTAGAGGGAAAAAAACTGTTTAAACTCTTGCTGGGGGCTTCAAGGGGCCGCCCCACAGCTGATTAGTGTTAAAAGAAAACAAATGAGTAGACCGGTGCATGCAAAAATAGAAAAAACAGCCCCTTTCAGCTTCAGGATAGGTTAATTAGCACAAGTTGATTAGATTGGCCTCCCGACTCTCAGCTGATTTGCTCTCAGCTGTTTTGCAGAGGGCTCTGTTGCTAGCTGCAAAGAGTGCTGGAGCAGATTTTTTTTCCCCTAGCTATGCTGAAAAAACGAAACTGAAAGTAAAGCAGAGTCTTTGCTGCAACGTGACAAAATGAGGCAGAGAGAGATTTATTTTTATTTTTATTTTTCCTTACCAAAAAAGGTAGGTGCAAAACTGCAAACAATGGGAAATTTAGGGCAAAAGAGAGTTCAAGATTTTAAAACACAAAAGAAAAAAAGCTCTATTTAACTAGGGAATTGTAATAATTGAGATACTATTAATTGTATATTAAAAGCAGAAATAGTTAAATTGTGGTTTGGAGGAATATATTTTATTATTATTTTATTATTATTGGTAAATATAATTAATTGATTTGTAAGAAATTGGATTGCATGGAAATAATTGGAATATTCATGTTCATATTGATTAATATACAAAAAAGATAGTTATATAACTAATTGATTTATATTAAAATGTTGAATTTGTATTAAACAACTGTAATATTACATAATTAACCACTGTGAGGATGGATATAAAAATAGATGACAATGGGAAGGGGTATAATATAGAATAGAAGGGAAAAATTGAATTTGATTAAGATTAGAGATGAGGATGAAGGGTAATATTGGTTTTTTAAAAAAATAGATGAGGAATAAATATGGCAAAAAGGAAATATAGAAATTGTAAATTTAATTGAAATGACTAAACACTGTTTAAATTTGTGAACCGGCCAAATACTCTGTTCAAAGAAAATAAATTGTATGTTTGTATGTCTGTTTCTAATTATTGCTATTTATTTATATTTGTTCTCTTTTATTCTTTAAAGTTTAACAATTCATTCTTTATCTTAATATCTTTATATTTGTTTGGGGTTGGCTTTTTTTCCTTTCATCTTTTTTATGGTACAGCAATCTTTCTCCTCAAACCTACCACCTCTCTCTTTTCTTTCCTTCTTACTTTCTCTTCTCCTCCTCCCTACTTCCTCTTTCTTTCTCCTTCTCCTCCTCTCTTCCTCCCTCTCTTACCCTCCCTCCTACTCTAATTTCCCTTCCCTTCCTTCATCCCTCTCTATTGCTGTATCCTTTTATGCATATGGACTACTCAGAGGGCTGAAAAAGTTATTTTTGACTGGTCCTCGCACTTTTGACCAGTCCTCAAACTTACGACTGTCCTCACATTTTACGTTTTTTGCCCTATCTTATCACCATGGTGAAGAGAAGCAGTTGTGAAATGAGTGACATGGTTGTTAAGAATGCTGCACGGGCATAAATGTGAGGATGGTCATATGTGTGAGGACCAGTCAAAAGTGCGGGGACCTGTCAGAAATGACTTTTTTCAGCCCTCTGAGTAGTCCCTATACACATAGCCACGGCCACCCGGTCACATGACCAGCTAGCTACACCCACCTAGTCACATGACCTCCAAGCCACGCCCACGAAATAAGCCACGCCCACAGAACCAGTAGTAACAAAATTTAGAACCCACCCCTGCCGTGCAGCATTCTTAACAACCATGTCACTCATTTCACAACTGCTTCGTCACCGCTACCGGCTCGGCCGAACCGGGAGGAACCCACTTCTGATTAGCAGGGATCTCCAAACTCGGCAACTTTAAGGTTTGTGGACTTGCTGGCTGGGGAATTCTGGGAGTTGAAGTCCGCAAGTTTTAAAGTTGCCAAGTTTGGAGAACCCTGCTATATAGGATTGCCTGCAACATTGCAAGCAGAAACTATACAGATGCCACTCTTCTGGTCAATACATATGTTTTTATGCTAAGAAAAGCTGAACCTTAGATATTTGTCCACTTTTACAGAGATGACCTCTGATTTTAATCTTTATTATCTATTCTGAGAAAGCAGAGCTGCTATTTCAACTGGTTATATGTATCAGTCAATCAGTGAGATTGAACTGATTTCTTCATGCTGATTATTTCTGGCTAGCCTTTATCTCTAGGTATTCTCAAACTTTCTAGTATATAAAGGTAAAGGTTCCCCTCGCGCATATGTGCTAGTCATTCCCGACTTTAGGGGGCAGTGCTCATCTCCATTTCAAAGCCGAAGAGTCAGCGCTGTCCGAAGGCATCTCCATGGTCATGTGGCTGCCATGACTCAACATCAAAGGCACACGGAACACTGTTACCTTCCCACCAAAGGTGGTCCCTATTTTTCTACTTGCATTTTTTACATGCTTTCAAGCTGCTAGGTTGGCAGAAGCTGGGACAAGTAACGGGAGCTCACTCCGTTACACGGCATTTGAGATTCGAACGGCTGAACTGCTGACCTTTCCATTGACAAGCTCAGCGTCTTAGCCACTGAGCCACCGCATCCCTTTTTTCTAGTATATACATGCCTGCATTTGCACACATTTACCACTGTGCTTTCCCTTCTTTCTCCAGCTCAATAAATCTAAAGTTTTCTCTGTGCAGCTGTGAAGTGCTACACACATGACTGGTATTTAGAAACCATAGGTGAAGAACAAAGGGAGACAGAAAAGAAAGGTCTAAAGTTATCTCTTCTCCACCTGGTGTCTTTCCATTGTATTGTGCCTACAACTTTCAAAATTCCCAGCTAGTGCATGATGGGACGTGGGGATAGTTCTAAAATGTGGTTGATAAATCACCCATGGTAGACATTACAGAGGAGAGCTATATTGGTCTACATTCCTGTCTTACATAGCAATAAAAATTATGGTCATAAGTCAAGGACTAGCTGTTGCTACGCAAGACAGTTAAGTGAATTTTGCCTCATTTTATGACCTTTTATGACACTTAACCACACTTGTTAAGTGAATTGTTGCCGTTGTTAAGTTAGTAGCATGTTAAGTTAAGTGAATGTGGCTTCCCCATTGACTTTACTTGTCAGAAGGTCACAAAAGATGACCATGGGATACTGCAACTGCCATAAATACATGCCAGTTGCTAAATCTGAATTTTGATCACCTGCCCACGGTGATGTTACAATGGTCGTAAGCAGTGGTGGGTTGCCCCCAGTTTGGACCGGTTCAGAAGAACCGGTAGTAAAACCGGCGGGAGGCCCCACCCACTGCTCCAGATGTCATCATCGGCGATCTGCGGAGCGTGATCTATGCAGCGTGATCTGTGCAGCGCGATCCCGTTGCGAACCGGTAGTAAAGGTAAGTAGAACCCACCCCTGGTCATAAGTGTGAAAAACATATTACTTTTTTTTCAGTACTGTTGTAACTTCAAACAGTCACTAAACAAACTGTCGAGAATTACCTGTACTGCTTTGGTTTTTATCGCTTCTTTAATATAGGACCTCCTAGATTTATTAGCATTTTGTTTTATAACGGACAGCTGGGACTGCTGCAAGGAAGAGGGAAGTATTCTAGATCCCCTTTATTATTTAAAAAAATTATATATATATTTGTTTTCGTAGATTTTCACGGGTACAGGTATGCAAGTCTTGGGGTATTCGTGTCTTTTCCCGTGTAAGATTGAGAGTAATTTGGCGATGTTTCAACGAGGTCTCACTCGTCATCTTCAGGCTGGTGTCTTCGGTTTCGTGCATCGTGCTTGTGCTATACACACACACACACACACAATCAGGGGAATGAAAGGGCAGCAGTCTATATATAAAGGCTGCTGCCCTTTCATTCCTCTGATTCTACTTCCATGTGTCACCGTGAATGACCAAGCAAGATAATTCAACAGGTATAGCACTTCCCACATTCTGATCTTGGCGCACTGCTCGCTTCCACAGAGAAAGGGGAGGGGTCTGTCGCCTGCGGGGAGATCCCGTGGGGATCGCTTCCCTATAGCCCACCGGCTCAGCCGCCGCTTGGTCCCTCCGCAATCCTAAGAACTTCACCCGAAGAAGGACAGGCGTCTTCCCCCTTTGGACGGAACAAAGCTCCCCCACCCTCTCCCGAAGCTGTCTCTCTCTCAGCGGAGTTTCGCTTTGCTGTTCATTCTCGTCTCTCCAGGTTCGGATTCTTTTAACGACTCATTTACAGTGCTGCTATTGCTGCTTATGACGATCGTCGTACTCTAGCTGCATGGTTGTGGTACGTTCCCGGGGGTGGGGAGGGGGATTTAATGAATGAATGAACGGAGCGGCGGCGGCAGCGCTGGGCTGATCTCTCTCCTGGCTGCTCGCTCCGCTTTCCAGCCGGACCGAGCCGGAGAAGAAGGCGGGCCACCGGGCAGATGCCAGACTGTTGAGCCGCCGCCAGGGAGGCAGATAAAACGCAAGGAAGGGCTACTCCTTCCCGGGGCGGGAAGCGGCTCCACGGCCGGGGCTTGGAGGTGGCTCGTTTTCAGGGAGCCCGGTTGTCGTGAGGACAGCGGTCCGGCCTCCCCAGCCTGTGGAAGGCGCGGAGGCGACCAATACCGGACCGGATTTCGGCTCGGCTCCCTCCTGGCTGCCCGTGAGGTGCGTGTTTGGCCGGGCTGCCGCCTCCGAGTCTGCCTCGCTCTTCGGCCTCCCGATGATCGGCAGGCCTGCTTTCCTCTCTGGGTGTTGGGACGGAGGAACACGTGTCGTTTCCTCTGGCCTGGAGGGATGGTGGTGGAAGAGAGTTCGGTCTGTGAGCGCGTTTCCACGGTCGGAATCCACGCTTGGCTGGAATCCCGGTTAGATGATGGGCGGGCTCTTGTGGATGGCGCTAACTCCGGGTGTGAGAGAAAAAACGCGCGTGTTGGCTTGATCTCAAGTCAATTTAACCGTTGCTTGAGAGGATATTCTTATAAACATTTAGTACTGCAGGCTTGAGAAAGGAGTGTTCATGTATCAGAGGTTATTGTGCCGCCTCCACCACTTTTCTTTCTGGAAAAATTGACCTCTGGTGCTTTTTTTTTTTTTAAGGTGGTTTATCAGACAATGTAGATAAACATGACTGGGCCTGGTTAGTATTTGGATGAGTTGACCTCCAGGAAGTGAATCATACAATTCTAGTCTCCCCAAGCAGGGAGCAACAAGATCCTATTACTAAGATCACTGCATCCTTGTATCCATGAGGTTATCAGGAATCAGGCTTGACTCTAGGATACTGTTTACCTTTTATAGATCTGATTTTCATGTAATGTGAATGGAATTTGGGAATTCTCAATTCTGTGTAGGTATGAACATTCGGACTGTGCGCTCATGGAAAAAGACAACCATGTGGTTTGGAGATCGGCTTGTACATGAAGCATTAAACTAAGAAGCCACATTGTGGTTTGCTTAACGTTAGCTAACCATGAAATAGGCCTCCATTATATCACAATATAGGCAATTCTTTAACTGGGATGTTGCCGGTCAGCTTTCAGCTTGGCTTAGCATTAAGAACATCTAGGCCTGTGAAAATTTGGATTGTGGTTAGTAGGCAGTAATGAAGGATAGAATACTGTTAAGTCTTCGCTACTCTTGGTTATCTCAACCTCTGTAGCCCAAATATCTTTAAGAACATGCAGTAGTTTCCACCTTTAATCTCTAGGTCTATGGAGATTCTCAGTCATCCGTTTGGGACTTTAATCTGTGGTTTTTCTTTTTTTTTTCTTTTTTCTTTTTTTGTAATTGGAGAGCTAGTTATGAGAAGGAGTTATGCCTGAAACTTTGGAATCCCTTTGATAAATCAGGCTAGAAAAACAAATAATCTGAACAAATACAAGGCACTTTTTCTATGACGTTAGGGCAAACTTTCCCTATTTGGTCCCCCCCTCCCCAAAAAGCATGGACTTTGGCTACCAGAATCAGGGGTGAAATCCAGTAGGTTCTGACAGGTTCTGGAGAACCAGTAGCGAAAATTTTGAGCAGTTCGGAGAACCGGCAAATACCACCACTGGCTGGCCCCAGAGTGAGGTGGGAATGGAGATTTTGCAATATCCTTCCCCCAGGAATGGGGAGGGAATGGGGATTTTGTAGTATCCTTCACCTGGAATGGGGTGGGAACAGGGATTTTGCAGTATCCTTCTCCTGCCATTCCCACCAAGCCACACCACGCCTACCAAGCCACACCCACAGAACCGGTAGTAAAAAAATTTGGATATCACCACTGATCAGAATCCTCTACTGTAATTATGCTGATTTGGAATCAGTATCTGGAAATTACATTCAACACATGCAGAAAATGTTCAAGATGGTGGAGACTGCCTAAGCTATAGTTTAGACCAGGGTTGGGCAGTTAATTTTCCCAACGGGCCACATGAGAAATTGGGATTTTGTGGAGGGCCAAACCAATCTATATTTTTCTACCATATTTTGGTGATTCTTCCCAGTAGCTGCCATTTCATTTTGTCTAATGGCAGGGTCATCCCTGTGCACCATGCTCCTTGCTTAAAACCTTGAAACTGTCTTTTGGAGGGAAGGGTACTGTTGAATTTAAATCCAAGTTGGAACTTCAGTTGCTGATATCTAACTTGTTTTCCCTTGACAGGCCTATTCACCAAAGGAGCATGTAAATTCAAGGTTCTTCCTTGGTCCCCAATTGAACAAGCAGGATGCCAGAGCAAAGTAATGATTACCGAGTGGTTGTGTTTGGAGCTGCTGGTGTTGGTAAGAGTTCTTTGGTACTCCGTTTCATACAAGGGACCTTCCGTGAAACATACATCCCCACTGTTGAAGATACATATCGTCAGGTTATCAGCTGTGACAAGAGCATCTGTACTCTTCAAATCACAGACACCACCGGAAGCCACCAGTTCCCTGCCATGCAGAGACTCTCCATCTCAAAAGGCCATGCATTCATGTTAGTATACTCTGTGACCAGCAGGCAATCTGTAGAAGAGCTCCAGCCAATCTATGAGCAGATCTGTCAGATCAAAGGAGACATTCAGAAAGTCCCAATTATACTGGTAGGAAACAAGAGCGATAACCCCCAAAGAGAAGTGGGCACCAGTGAAGGAGAAGTCCTTGCCACGAAATGGAAATGCTCCTTCATGGAGACCTCCGCCAAAATGAACTATAACGTGCAGGAGCTTTTTGAAGAGCTCCTTAATTTAGAAAAGAGAAGAAATGTAAGTCTGCAGGTGGATGGCAAGAAATCAAAGCAGCAGCGAAAGAAGGATAAACTGAGAAGCAAATGTTCTGTAATGTGACACCTACTGTGTGGCTAAAATAAGAGCATAATCTTGATCTTGCAGGACATCTAGTCAGAGAAAATTCTGATTATTGAGATTTTCAGAGGCTAAGTAAGTGTAAATGTGGGTTGGATTGTTTTAATATTTATTTAAGGGCGGTTGGATTTTGCATGTTCCTTTTTGCACAAGCATCAGCTATGCCTACTGCAAACCGGTCAATACCGTTCTGTGGTCAAGTGCATGATAAAAGTGGAATAAATAATCTTAAACCTGCAATGTACTGCTACATTTTTATAGTTTCTTCGATTTGCAACATATTTCCTCTTACAAATACTAATGTGAATGAGCAAATCGCAACAGGATTCTACTGAGTAAACCAGTATAATTAGACAGTACTGCAGCCAATGCTTGCATATACTTGGAACAAACAATAAATGCTTACAGATAGAACTTAACTATCTGATTATTGATAGTTCTCTGATTATTGTAGATTATTTGTATTTATGATAGTCCTTCTAATATGTATATTTATAGTAAAGAGACTTTATTCTTAAGTGTTCCACGTTATATGTAAATACTTCGTATGTGGCTACATCGGCAAGATTTTATGTGAATAATTAAAATTAAATGAGTTTTTAATGTGTATCTATTGACTTTCTAACTTAATTGCCCAAGATTGATTTTCCAAAAAGACATGTTTGGTGGATTTAATTGTTGGGGGGGGGAATTTTGGTACTGCACCATCTTTTATTCTTTTTTATCTTGCTACAACTGGCATGGAACACCTGATCTTCTAATACACTCAGTTTTAGCTTACCAAATTAATAATAATAATAATAATTTCATTTATATACCGCCCTCCTCCCAAAGGCCTTGGGGCGGTGTACAGCCAAAATTAAAACATAAATATACAATATCATAGTTAAAATTAATTAAATTAAATTAATCCATGAATATAGATTTAAACATGTATTGCACTCATCTATAAACCAGAGTTTCTGAATCAGCTTACAGAATATCCTATTAAAAAGCCAACTAACTACATCATGGATAAAAGAGAATATTTTTAGCTCATGGTTGAACTGTGAGGTCCTTGGTACTTTCTGAGATTGATTTTCTTGAAGACATTTCATTACCAAACTTGTTAATATTAATGCTCTGATGGGCACTGATGATGTTGTCTAATTTGGTAATGAAATGTCTGCAAGAAAACGACCAAGTTCAGAGGGCATCACTAACTACATTATGGCTTAGTATATTGCTTAGTATATTATGGCTTAGACATTTTATGCTGTGGTCCTTGGAATTGCTCCATTTTACTCTAGTGATAAAATTGGATTTCCATACAATGAATGAGCATTTTCTCTCAATTTTGTTACCCAGAAATTTGTAGAATTTATAGAAATAAACTTATTTTCTACAAAGTAATTCTACATAGATAGAATTTGAACTATAAAATGTTGTACCAATATAGGATAGCAAATTCATTGTATGCAGTCATATAACTGCTTATAAATTCATTCTATATTTTATTACCAAACGTGTGCCTACTCTCTGCTGATTAATACATTTGCAATTGAAAATATAAGGAATCCAGATTCAAAAAATGACTTGTGTTATAATAAACATATAATGTAGCTTTTACACTTAATACAATTCCATAGAGAACATAGTAAGCAATAATTATAACTGCTATCATCAATGTCTCAGTAGCATTATCACCTCAGTTGCATAAAAGTGCTGAGCCTGAACGAATAAAAATGCTAAATAAATATTTACAAAGCTGCAGACAGCCAAATATGATTTAAATTGGCTTTAAACCAGTTTAGCTCTCTGGACTTTGTAAACTAAAAGTATGCTGATGGAATAAATAGAGTAGAAGACAAAATTATGAGAGACGTGACTTATCAGGTAAGGGTAAAAAAAATCTTAGCAGTTATTAAAGACAGACAGCAGCATAATTTACCTTTTCTCTCTATTTTTAGACACAGTTGTTTTTACACATTGTGCTAAATTAAGCTTTAATAATATTTTCTAACACTAATCGTAGTGGCCTACTTCATATAAGTTGCATTGTAAACTAGACTTTACAAACCATTTTATAATTATGTGTTGTATTGTAATTTATTGTTTTGTTTGCTTTGGTTTAGCACAATATTTAAACCCAGTGGCAAACCAAGTTAAATCAAGGGTTACTAGTGTGAGTAGTGCTTGTTCTTTTTCCTACACGTGTCTTGATTAGTTACTTCTCTCCACATTTCTTAAATTAAAGTTTCCTGACTCGTTTATAAAAATGACTAAAACTTGGTTTGTAAACTAAGCTATAAAAGCAAGTTCTGGGTATTTCACAGGCAACCCTATTAGCTAGCTAGATGGTTGTGGAAGAATGAGTTCAAGGGTTCTGATATTGATGACTGTCAAGTGGGCGGTGGGAAAAATCCTATCCTGCATGACTAATGTTTTTATAGATCTATAAAAGCGGTTGGAAAGACAGGCTGTTTCTACAGACCAGCTTTCTGCAATATTCATTAGCAAATTGCATGGTCTTCTTTCTTGCCTTTAGCCATGCAGAGAATATGGATTTGTGCTTGTAAACCACCGTTTTTTGCCTTGAGTGATTCCAATGACTTTTGATAACAGTATTCTGTTTTATAGCTCATCTCCCGAGAATTGTATATGGAGAATAGGCCATAAAGGAGGTGGAAAGATTTAAGAAAGATGATGTAAGTTTCAGTCTGCAGGGTGCCTTATGGTTTGAAAGCAGACTTATTTATGATGCTACCTCTGTTTGCGAATTGTGAAGCAAGCTATCAAAATATATCTTTTTTAGTTTACACAATCCATGTCATTTAGGTGCTACAGCCTTCAGACAATCGAAGAATTGACAAGCTTCAAGCCATTTGAGTTTTTAAGAAGTGGTACACACAGCCCTCAGAACCACAGTCCCATTTTAACCTAGCTTGTAGCTTGCTATAGTTTAATGTGCAATTGGGCTGAATAAACCATACATAAGATAATATAGTTAAGCTTGTATTGCAGGCATTGTCATAAACTACAAAGTATTTGCTAATTAATCATGTTTTGTGCTGCAGCAAACTCAAATTATTTATTTAAAGAACTTATATAACTCACCCATCTCAATTTAGTGTCTCTGTGTGCCTAACAGTGCATAAAACATAAAATAATGCAATATAAAAGCAGGGGGAAAATATACAGCCAGTTGATACAGCCTTGTCCTATATAATACCCTCCAGCGACATTGGCCTGCAATTCCACTTCGCAGCTACCATAAAATTTATGGCCTAACAATCAAATTGGAGAAGATTGGTTTGAAGATTTGTCACATCAACGCTTTGTTTTTTAGTTGCAAAATGAATCACAGAAAATCCAGTCCATTTTTCTGTTTATAGCAGTTCTCAGTCAACATCCTCATTTCTCAAATGAAGGTATAATTCTTCCAGGTCTTGGGGTTGAGGTGGTAGACTTTTTATTATAGCTGTTCTGGTTGATACAATCTATTATTGGCTGTAGTTGGTGTTCTGTTTTTTTCTATCAGTTGTATTCTTTTTTGTATGTATTGTTTTTATTTGCAAAATATGAATGTATTCATAATGATTCAAAATGGTATATAATTACTCAAAAATACTTGTTAATATGTGAATACTGCTTGGAACCATGACGATCTTCTGGTTGCAGCATCAGCCAAATGTCCGTTGACCTTAGTTCCCTCTCTCTGCCTTTCCCATTAGCTCTTTCAGCAGGGAAGAACTGTAACTTGGTATGTATTGCTCAGGAAAAAAAAATCTTCCTATCATTATTGTAAAAAGGTTTTCAGTTCACTTCTGGCAGTCTTCTGGTAATATTCCAGGGGTGAAATGCTCCCGGTTCGGACTGGCTCGGGCGAGTAGATAGCGATGATGGCCGGTGGTTCGGAGAACCGGTAGCAATGGCAGCTGGATGCTCTGCCCACCCGCCCCATTCCCCGGAGTCAGGGAATGCACCATTCCCCGACTCCGGCCTTGCCGTGGAGCCGCTGCCTGCTCGCCCTTCACCACGCGGTGTATCCTACTGCTCACCTTTCTCCCGCGGTTGGCGGTCAGGGAAGGGAAGCGGCCGAAAGTTACCGGAGTCGCTCACTCTCCTCGAATGAGCCGCTCTGGTCCACGCCCCGGCTGCGCAAGCGCACACCATTTATTTAATTCACTCATCAGCGGCAGGTTGGGTGTGCACTTGCGCAGCTGGCGCATGGACCAGAGTGGCTCATTCAAGAAGGAGAGTGAGCAACTCCGGTAACTTTCGGCCGCTTGCCTTCCCTGACAGCCAGCCGCGGGAGAAAGGTGAGCAGTAGGAATTGGGGAATGGTGCATTCCCTGACTCCGGGGAATGGGGTGGGTGGGCAGAGCCACGGGAGAAAGGTAAGGGCATGCCGGCAGAATAGAAATTTAAAAAGTTTTCCTACCGGGTTCTGTGAGCATGGCTTGGTGGGAGGGGGTCTTGTGACTGAGTGGGCGTGGCTGTGAATGACATTGAGTTGGCCATGCCCACTCAGTCACAGGACAACCCCCCCCACCAAGCCACGCCCACAGAACCGGTAGGGAAAAATTTTAGATTTCACCCCTGTAATATTCCCTGACACTAATTATTTAATATTAGAACAGTTACATTTCATTTGGATAAAAAATAGATTATGTCCCTCTCTTTAAAAAAAGATTAACTGTTAATCATCATATTAATATGTTTTCCTCATTGTTTTAGCTTTACGTTGGCTGAATAAATTCTTAACCAGTTTGCCTCTATCTGGGCCATTATATTTTTAAGACTTAAAGGGATTCAATTCTTTTATAGCTTTTACTAAGGGAAGTCTGTACTTTGTGTAAGGAATTTCTTGAATTTCTGTGAGAAAAAATAATTTACAAGAAAATAATGGGGGAAAGATAAACATTTTTCAGCTCTACAAGAGGCGTATCTTTACATATTCTACCAAAATTTTTATATCCCATCATTATGATGAAAAAGGACTGCCGTCTCACCCTGAATTAACCATCACAGACCTTTGATGGCGAGGGTCTGTGTTTGAATTTAAAATGTTTTTTAATCTTTCATTGGGAGCCACCCAGAGTTTGCTGAAAAATGGGTGGTTATATAAATGTTTTGAATAATAAATAAATAAATAAATAAATAAATAAATAAAATCCTAAACAGGTACCATCGTAGCCAAGTTTGCATTAGGCCCCTTATTTTTAATAACAAAATCCATTCATAGAAAATTAACACTCAAAAAAGTGGCTAAAGAATATGAAATGTATGGTTATTAAATAATCATATTTAAACAGTGTTTCCTTTATATTATTTGTCTTATTATTTCATTATTTCAAAAAATACCCAACCTCAGGAACTATAAAAACAGTATACAGTTGTTATAGCATATAAAAAATGATGGAATTGACATACAGTAGGTTAAATAAACACAGTTCTTTCTAATGTGGCATTTAAAAATTGCACTCAACCTAATCAGGTTGGAAAATTTTCCACGTAGGTCTATTTGCTTATTGTTTTTGAACAAATGTGCGGAAAAAGAAATCCATGTTTCTGGTAGCTTGATTTAATCATGTGGTAGCAGCTGAATCATATTTCAGCTTTACGCA